ATCTCGATTCTTATTCACACGATTTTAATATCAAACATAGCTTTTCATATTTGCGTGTTGCGATTCTTATTCACGCGATTTGAATATTGTACGCTGCGATTCTTATTTACGAGATTTAAAAATCCGATATTGTGATTCGTATTTACGCCTTTTTAAAAACCTATGTAGCGATTCGTATACACGCAAGTTTAAAATTCAAGGTCTTGATTTGCTCATGCGGTTTATAATATCAAACATTGATTTTCGTACTTATATGTGATTTTAAAATAAGCCGTTTGGATTCACATTTACGCATTCTAAAAATTACGCATCATAATTCTTATTTATGCAATCTAAAAATTGCGCATCATGATTCGTATTTACGCGATCTAAAAATTATGAATAGTGATTTGTATTTACACGTTTTAAAAGTTCTATATCCCAGTTTGTATTTTCTCATTTTCAAAATCGTATATCTAGTTTCATATCCATGTGAGTTCAAAATCCATAATTGTTATTCATATTCACGCAATTTTAAGATCAACTATCGCGATTCTAGTAAGAAGTAATTTTTTTTTTAATTACTTACTATAAAGGTGACTGCTTTTCTAATGACGATTATTAGTATATGTAAGTGTTACAACATCAGAGAAACTGGAAGGGAATATATTCAAAACTTACATTCTATGCTTGCAAAGAAGAAAAAATAGGATTTGTCACAAGATGTTTGAAGATGGACTAACGACTAAATATAGCAAACATAAAAGATATAGCAAACAAAAGCAATCACTTAAAAAGGGATTTAATTTAATTATTATTATTTTATTTGGAAAAAGAGTTAATTAACTCATCATCAAAATTTTATTTATAATTGCTGTTATTTATACTATAAAATGCAAAATTCTTATCAAATAAAAAGCAATTATTTAAACAGTTGCTGATAGTCATGTAATTTTTCAAACTAAAATAGCAATTTTTGTATGTTAAGGAGTTGCTATATATTTCTACTTCCCTGTTATTGATATGTTTCAAAGGCTCTAGTTAGATTAGACTATAATATGAACATAATAATTCGATCCATTGTTAAAGTTTTTTTTTCCCAATATAATTTAAAAAGTAATATTACTGATATATTTGCTATAAATCACATAACAGTATTTATTAAAAGAAATGAAATATTAATGTATATTCTCAGTAGTTTTAATTTGCTAAACCAAGCAGTTTTTTAAGTAATAATTGTCACTTATGTGAACTGAGGAAAAATATAATTTCCAGCTTTATTTTTTCAATTGGTAATTTTTATTTTCACTAAATGTTAAGTATCAATGTAATCATTTATATAATGATAGATTAGTACACTTTTATATGTCAACACATTATTTATTACCTTAAACCAGACCTGCCAACTCTCCTGCTTTTAGCAGGAGTCTCCTGCTTTTGCCTCAAATCTTCGCCCTCAGGTCTTCAGGGTGTTTTCTCCTGCTTTTTTCTATTTAGTGCAAGATAGAGGGAAAAAACAAAAATTTGTGCAATTTCCTTCCCAACTTGTGCTTCAGATCATGCTCGGCATTTATTTAGAAAAGTTTTGCCCCATAGCAACATCACTAAAAATTACGGTGAGTGTGAACCAAAACAGCAGCAATAACCAATGAAATGGCAAAATCAGAGATATCTTGGACACCATTAGGCAAAATGTTTTTTCACTTTCTATAGATGCCAGTTTTTTTTTTTAAATAATGCTAAATCAGCAACATCTGCAGTTTTAAAACAGTAGCAGATAAAAAAAAAATTACGAAATACATTTATAAAGTATTGTATTCATTATTGACATATTTTGTTAGTTTTTGGACTTCTTCCTAAATTTGAAAAAATAAAAAGATATGTTTTAATATAATTCTATAGAACCTTATATTTTATAGTAAGAACACGTATCTTTATTAGTCAGTGTCAGAATCTTATTGTGGTCTATTTTGTGTAATGTAAATAATATATTTTGAAATAAACTTCTTGTAGGAAGTGTGAATCAGGTTTAATTTTCAATATTGTGCTATGTCGTGATACAGAAAGAGTCTCCTGCTTTTTTATTTTCTAAGGTTGGCAGGTCTGCCTTAAACTGTCTGGAGTTTATTATTAAAGGGTTGCGCTTGCATAAAATTTACTATCATGGAAATTCAGCTTTTTTGCCTTTTGGCTAATCTCATCGTGGCTCATTGAGTTTCATGAGCAAGTGTCACACTAAATGACTTTCTTCTTTTCAAGAACTTGAAGTTATTTTTTACTGACAAAAAGTCCAAAATGAGGGTGCTCAGATCCATTACTCAATGGTTCCAAAAGCAGCAAACATTTATCCTCTTTATGATACCTGAACAGTGGTGATACTTGTGTTGGAAAACCATTTTGACCTTGTAGTTCATTATTTAGGCCTTAGCCTCTTAATGAGGCTTTTTTTTTCTTATAAGTAATATTAAAGTATTTTTGGGCCTGTGATTGATTTATAAAAATAAATTACTTTTTACATTAAAATTTTTTTGGTGGTGGAATTTTCAAATATTTACCCAATGTAAATAATAGGCCATAAACTCAAACTTCCGCGTTTATAATTACCCGAATTTATGAATTCTGTGCATAAATAAACTTGATGAGAAATGATTAAAAAAAAACATGTTACACTCGAGAGAAAATGGCTGCCCAGTGTTGGCCTCTTTTCTATACCTTTATTGTTACCAGACAGTTATAGCCAGACAAATCGTAAGTGGGAAAGTAGCTACCCATTGACATTTAAAAATTAATGAATATTGTGAGATGTATACTTTCCATGTCCTTATCTTCTCTTTATTTGGCACTACAGCCCTGGGCGGGCCTTAACCTGCCGCACAATGTTTCTCCAGACTTTCCAGTTGGAGAGCTTTAAAGTTTTCAAATCTATCCAAGATATCCATCCACCTTTTCTTTGGTTTGCCTATTGCACATGGGCTTCCAATGCAAGATCTTTACCACTCGGTTGTCAGGTGATCTCTCAATGTGACCAAGCCATGAAAGCGTCTCTGCATTGATGAATTTTACATTATTTCTATGCTTGATAGATAAGAGCTTCCAGTCCATCATTAGTTCTTATTCTCCGAGTTGTATTGCTCCAATAAGCCCATGTCCTTATAAAGGTTCTAAATGAGTGTTTGCTTTTTTTCATTGTCATTGTTAAACTTGCTTTCTGGTTTACTTATGTATGTTTATCTTTGCGTAAACGTGCAGCATTTCCCTATGATAATATACTGTTATGTTTTATTTGCAGCTTTAGCTGGATTCTCCCCTCATCGTAAAATAGCCAACTTTGAAGAAGCAAAAGGCCTAGATAAAATTAATGAGCGTATGCCACCCCGGAAAGATGCCCTTTCATCTCCAGGTGACGAGTCTGCTTACTCATTAAGCCGCTCTTCCACTTCGCCCAATAAATCTTGAAAACATTATTAATTCAGAAAATACTAATTGCAGTTGCATTGTTGTAAATGTCTTATGTGTGTGTGTGTGTGATTCTGCGGGTCTGCCATGCCTCTAATGCCGCCCACCTTGTTGAGAGCCCACAATCTTTCAGATTCTATAATTTTTTTTAAACAACCTACCTGTTGGCATTGCAAGGCTTTTCAGAAGTTTTTCTAATCATGAGTGAATTTTTCATTTAAGTTCTCAGAGTGCATTTACTTGTATCTAAAAGTTTATATATATTTTGTGTCTTTCTTTTCTTTCTTTTTTTTATACTTAAAAGAGTTGAGTTTAATATAGTTGATGTTAGTTTAGGTATTTTTGCCTGGATTTTTACAGAATTTTTAGTATAAAATGATTAGTTTGATATTTGGAAATTTGACTTTTAGACTTGAAAGTCATTTTGTTATAAGTTATTTGGAGATTGTTTATAGGCTAATGTCAATGCTAAAATTTTTGAATAGTTTCAGGAATTATTACCCATACCCCCACTAACCCCCTCACTTTTTACACTTGACTTGAAGATATCAAAAAAATTCTATTTTTCTCTAAACTCTATTAAATGAGTCACTGTTTTATAAATCTTAATCTCTGATTTATATGAGTATTTTTTTAAATTAGTGGTTCTTTACATCAATTTGTACCATTCTTTGAACAATAAGTAATTTCGTACAAAATTAAACAATAATTTTTAAAAACTAAACCAAAAAATTTTATAAATCTTGAAATATTAGTTTCATATTTAGAACAGTGCTATAATACTGAATAGTTATTTTTTTAAACTTATAAGTTAGAACAGATGACTTTCAGATTTCGTGCAATTATGATTTTTTTTTAAAAAATATGTTTTGTTGATGCTGTAAAATGTATGCTTGCAAATTTGTTGAATTTTTAAGCGTCTTAGTAATTAAGTTTGATTGAAAACATTGTTTATAATTCAATTTTTTATAATATCTATTAAGTATTTTTTTTTTGTTCTGTTTACCATTATATAATGTATTTATTTACTGAAAAATTGTTTCGAACTTTGAGTTTCACAGAACTTAACCCATTTTAAGCCAAGAATAAAAGTTTTATAAAATGGGCTATTTTCTTTTAAATATGCTTAAATTACTTTCATTAATGCACTGAAGAAGTTTTGTGCGTGAAAAATAATACTTTATTTAAGCAATGAAATGGTGCATAAATGGTAATAAAATGCATAATGGTAAATAAAATGGTCATTTTATTTATAGAACTTGCACTTTTAATCAATAATACAAACATGTTTACTCTAAAGTGGAAAAATTATACATTTTCAAAAAGTCTAATTTGTCAAAAAAATGTTTCAAATTTAAAAAAACTACAGTATTCAAAAAATTTCTTAACAGAAAATATTTACTTCAGTTGAATTAGTAATATTTTGACGATGTCTTCAGAACCCTTAAAAATAATTGAAAAATAAACTTAGTGAAAAATATGCATCATAGATAAAATAAAAATATTGGGTTTACACTCCTTTGGCTGAAAATGGGTTAAAATCATTTTACAAATGAAAATATAATTCAAAAACTCTAAAGTATGTTTAATAATGTATTTTAATCAAAATTAATTTAAATCTACTTCGCTGGCTCATACAGATCATTTAAATGCAGTAAAAATTTTCCGATTCTGACTTTTCACTTTATTTTTTCATTCTCTCCCATCTTTAAAATTACAATTCTGTTAACCTGATATCGTAGTAGATAAAAGAAGAAGTTAGATTTAGATTTCAAACAAAACTTTTTTGTACCCAGTGTATCTTTTTTTTTTTTACTTCTGTTTCCAAGTTAATTAATGGGGTTTTTTTACAGTTAAATTTGCTGTTTCTTTTAACTGGTGTTTGTCTACAATTATTTTAGTAATTCAAAAATTAATACAATTTCTCGCAGAATAGCTGATGATTGTACTAACTTACAAATTATCAATCTTAATGAATTTTAAAAATACTTTTATTGAAAAAGGTATTTTTGTTGTTTTTTGCAAGTTGAAATACGAACACTAATTTCAAAACTTGAATATAATCTTGTTACCAAAATGTTGTTCAATTCGTCTTTACAAAGTTTTTTATATATCCATAAGAACACTTGTTATTTTTACATCTGAGTGACAAATTAACTACTGAAGTCCTGTTAAAGTAAAAATTTTGCTTAATGCAGTTACTAATGTAGTATAAGATAAAAATAATTTCTTTGACATATCATATTTCTTTAATGCTCACTTCTAAAAAAAGTTTTATAAAATTTTTTGGGTGGTTGTAGCAATTCAGCATATATTTATATGAACTATCTTATTCTCATTTTACCTAATACTTAACTGTATAAATCTTTATTACAAATTACTTTGTTAGAATTTTATGCAATTACATATCAATTACAAAGTTCTGTGTAATTACATATAAAATAATAATTTTCAGGAAAAAAATATTTAATACAATTATGAATGAAACCTTTATTTCTATATGAGTATTTTTGTAAATGTAACCCTTGAGAAAACTTATGTAATTTGCAATTGGGATTGGCATTGTTTAATCTCTGTAGCATACTTATTGAACTTACTTTCTTCTTTAAATACCAAAATTTATCAGGGTTGAAATTTAAAGTAAATAAAATAAATTTGTCACTGGCCCAAATGACTAGCAACTAAAAGTTTTTACTAGTTAGTATACATTTACACAAATCCAATTACATGTCTCTATTAGATTGTTTGTTTGTTTTTTTAAAAAGGAAAAGTTAATGGTAATTTAAACGCAAAATCAGATACAACAAATGTGTATCAATAACCATTTTTTTTATGCTATTTTGTGACAAAATCACAGACCTTAAACCAAAAACCGAAACAGCCTACTATCTTTTACATTGATTATTGGTGCAGGGGACCACTAATAATTTTTTTTATTGTTGTCCAATTCCATATTTTAGTGATTTCGCATCAAGAGACCATTAATTTCAAGCCCTGCTTATATTCAAGACTACTATCTTTTTCTATAATTAATTAAATTTATGTATATTTTTGTTCCATTCGCAATTTTGCAACTTAGTGACTGATAATGAATACAAAATTCTAAGGATATCTGCAATGGCAATAGTTAATAATTGCCATAACAGTTACAGTTGTTGACAGTGACAACATTTGTTAAATTGCAATTGTTAGCACTTTTTCTACCATCATCTTTTATTTTGAAATTTAAAAGAAAAAAATGATCGTAATATTGCTTAAAAGAATAAGAGAACTAAATTGCAGTGCATTGAGCACAAAATAATGCTTGGAAGATCTCTTTTGAAACTAAACTTTTTCTATTGCCCCTTTATTTTCTGAAAATCTCTTAAATCCCTCAATTTTGAAATTTAAAAATTTTATCTCAAGAGCCACTAAGTTAAAACAATACTTTCCGAAACTTTTTCTTTCAGCGTGTAACTTATTGAAATAGATTAGTAATTTCAATACACACACAGTAATTACTATCAAATTATTAATATATTTTTTAAGAATAGAAAAAAAATGTACATTTGATTGTCATATGAATTAAGCGTGGCTGATAAGGAGAGAAAAAAAAACTATATTTTAAACAGCGCAATATTTAATGAATGTGAGTTGAGCTATTATTTTTATTGTTATTTTTTAATGTGTTCCTTGGGATTTAAACCAAAATATGTGTGTGTTACTTTATTGCAATGAGTGCACTTATCTAAGAACTGTATTTCATATCTCCTGGAAGAACATTTTGCTTTTGTACCTTGTATGTCTTTATTATATCTTTTTGAAGAGTAGAACTCGTACTGTATATCAACAGATTCAAACATGTGCAATATATTACAGAAGCTATAATAGATTCTATGTATTTTCTTGCTTACAGGATTCAAACTGTTGTAGTTAGATTCTTGTGGTTAAACATTTCAGCACTTTTATAGATTATGAAGATTTAAATGCAGCATATTCTATAGAATAACCAATTTCCTTTGTCTCATAATATATAAGATAAAATATATATATCAACTGCCATCTCAATGTACGATGTTTTACATAATTTCTCTCGGCTGGAAGACGTACTTTTTTTATTAATATCACTAACCGTGTATTTTTATTATTGTATTTTGTCCATGTAGTATGTTCAGTACATGCAAGTAGAGACAGATAATGCATCTTAGATTATTTAACCCTGGTCTTGGTTTTAGGGGGTGATATGACTTTCTGTTAAATAGTAGATTGAATTTCATAATAAATTGAATAATTGTAAAAAATGTTGTGTGCATAGATCATAGTTCTGGTTTATTCATAAAATAAGAAAAACCTTTAATTAAGTGAATGCAGTTTTTTGAATTATTAATAGTTACATAAGAATGTATAATAAAGTCCATATGCCTTTGATTTAAGCACTTTAATTTGAACAAAACAACAATTTTAAGCAGATTTTCTTAAGTCTTAAAAAATTCAAATTTATCTTTAATTCTTCAGAAAATACAATATTTTATACCTATTAAGGGTGATAAAAGAATGACTAATAATCTCTGTTTTAATTTTTTTAGCAATTTGTAAATATAAAATTTATTAGTGTCTCTAAAATATTCCGATTTTAAATGTTAATTAGAAATTGTTAGAAATTAGAATAGAAAGTTAAAAATATCTTTGAACGTAACAATATCCTTTTTTAATTTTGCTGAAACTTAATTAAAATTAACTGTTGCTTAATGAATATTTTTTTGTCTACAATATATTCAGTTCTATTATTTTTGTTTGGCTCTTAATCTGAAATTTGATTCCGTTCTTTGAAATTACTACTATTTTAAGCAACTTGCTTTTTTTTCTTCATAAAATTTTATAGTATACTCTATCAATGTTTCATTTCAAACTAGCATTGCATTTGAGGGATTTTTTTTTATTTATATTTAACCAAAATTTTATTGATTTGCTGAATTTAATTGCATTTAAATGTTTTCTTATATGTTTTATGGGAAAAAAATTTTTACTGCAATTTAAAATCTGTAACATATTTCCTTTAATGTTAACTCATATTGCTCAATTTTTTTTTATAACATTTTGTGTGTGTTTTTTTTTTATTTAAAATGATTTTAACAGTAACTTAAAGTGTTTTTTTTTTTTTTTTTTTTGTATTAAGTCCTGTTTTGTTTTAAAATATCCAATTAGAATGCTGCTTTATGAAGCTCTAATATATACCATGCCAGGGTTAAAATTAAAATTTATTTGAATAGCTCTTCGCAATTTAATTTCTAAATTTAATCTTTTTTAATTAAATTGCTTAGCAATTATAATTACTGCTATAAGACAATCGCTATTTTCTATGAAACAATTTCTGCTCTATAGTTGAAATTACATAAAATTACTACTGCATTTTATTTTGAAATTATTATCCTGAGATTTTATTTTCTTAGTTAAGGCATCTATTATCATTTGCCATTAGTACAAATAGAAGTCACTAGATACTTCAAACATTCTTATCAATTTCATAACTTGTTGTTATCACATTTCTATAAAAAGGTAGCACAGTTTTAAATTAACTTCAAATCAGCAAATTTATGAATTCTTTTAGAGATTTTTTTTAACTGTATTTTTGCTCTGCAAGTAAATTAAAGTATTAATTATGTAAGTATTCCTGTATATACATTATAGGGTTTGTTTTTCTTTTATTGGTATTTTATGTAAAATTTATATTTATGTTATGAGTATATTATGATTTCTATCGATTTGATATTGAAAATGTTAGTTATTTTGTAAATACAACAATCAATGAAACCAATAGTGTGCTTTGTTCAATGTTCATGAAAACAATACATTGATAACATAAAAGCCATTTCATTATTAGTTATAGTTAGATTCAACAACAAATAATGAAATGGTTATAATGGTTTGATTACTTGTTACATTAGAACATTATATTTTAAGAAACTTAAAAAATTAAACATACTATTTAAAGACTGTATTTGTTAGATTGTACCAGTTATTAACTGTTATATCTAATTGTTATTTTGTCAATCAATACTGGTGTTATTATTTTTTTTAAAATAATTTATGTTTAAAAAATGTTAAAAATATTGGTTTCACTTCTTTGATC